TTTTTTTTTTTTTTGGTGTTGTTGTTGTTGTTGAGTTATTTGAGTTCTTCATATATTCTAGATATTAAACCCTTGGAGAATGCATAGTTTGCATATATTTTCTCCATTCTGCAGATTGTTTCTTCAATCTGTTGATTGTTTCCTTTTCTGTGCAGAAGCCTTTTAGTTTGATATAATACCATTTGTCTGTTTTGGCTTTTGTTGCCTGTGTTTTTGAGTTCCTCTTTATAAAATCTTTGCCCTGCCTAATGTCCTGAAGAATTTTCACTATGTTTTCTTCTAGAACATTCATGGTTTTATGTCTTACATTTAAGTTTTTAATCTATTTTGAGTTAATTTTTTTTATATATGTGAAAGATAAGGGTCCAATTTCTTTTTTTATTTGTAGTTGTATTTCTTCTTTTGTTGTAAACTTGTCATAGACTTTCCTATCAACCTTTTATGACATTTTATTGGTAAATATTGAAATGTCCAATATTTCAACATTTAAAATATGAATCAATTTTATAGTATTTGTATAAATATTGTTGAAAGTTTCTTTTAAATTTTATTATTTTTCTGCCATAGGAAAAAAAATTTATGCTTACATCTACTTTTCTTCTCCTTTGTGTTTTTTGTCTTTTGCTGCTAAGTTTTAGAAAGTCTTGTCAGTGAGAGATTTAAATACTTGCATTGTTTTCTCTATTTTATTTTTTGTTACTGATTTACATTTAGTTAATTCATTTGGAATTTAATTCTGAGTAAAGTAAGAGATGAATCATCAACTAAATAGTCATTTTTTTTCTAATTCTGTTCTGATGCCTTTTTACATTTACTTTATATGTGTGACATAAACATATAAGAAAATTTCTCAGTATTTCCAGAGGTTCCCTGCAAGAAGAATATCCCTTGAACTTCATGTACAACATTCCTTTCCCTCGCAGCTCTCTTCCTCTGCTTCAGCTTCAGCCTGCGGACAAAGAAACGGTTTTTCAGAACTAATTCTTGAGAGATTGCACATTCTAAGTATAAGGATGCAGTTTCAAATCACATTTAATAAGCTAAAAAGACAGAGATTGCTCTGTGAGGACACCAGGGACATCAAAGGCTCTCACTGACAGAGCAAAATTCCCAGTGGGACCCAGGTCTCAATATGTCATTTCAGGTAATTCTGCAGGGGCCTGCCACACCTGCTCACCACCTGCCTAGAGATCTGCAAAAGCCCTCTGGACTGTGTAGAGAAATATTAGGATACATGAAGTGGAGATGGCACCACCAAGCAGGAGAAACCACAGGTAAGACCCTTCTGTGAATCTTCAGGGAAAAGAAGGAGGCATGATGCCTGTTACTAGAGGATAAGAAAAATTAATGCAGGTAACACACTTAGAACAATGCCTGAACATGGACAGCACTCAATAGATGTGACTGTCCTCACCTGTGCTGCAGTAACAACAGGCTTGTGACTTCTTCTCCTTTCACTCTCACTTCTTTCCTATGTACCCTGCCTTTTGCTTCCAGTTACTTTTTGATATTGTAGAAATAGAATCTGTGGTATCAGGAGATACCAATTAGTGAGAATAAAAGACAGACTAAAAATAAGAACTGAGAGAAATAATGATCTCAGTGAATAAAAATGAGTAGTAAATTAGGAGCAATGAATTTAGAACAANGAAATAATGATCTCAGTGAATAAAAATGAGTAGTAAATTAGGAGCAATGAATTTAGAACAAGTGGAACAGATGAGAATGCTGTTATAAAAGTCAAAGGAGAAATTCAGAAGGAGAAACTGTATGTCAAAAACTCAAAAGAGATGAAGACTAAGTATTAGCCATTACATTTGCAATGTGGAGTTCATTTCAAGCCTTTGTGAGAATAATATCGGTAGTGAGATTTGGATGAAAAGTCAATTTCAGGATTCTAAGAACTGAATGAGAGTGGGAAAATAGAGAGAAAAAAATTAAAATAGTTGCCTATGAATTAAACCAAATTCAGTCGTGAAGGGGAGCTTAGTTGTGTGGGAGTAACCTGCAGTGTCAGGCTAAGAAAGGGTAGTCATGGTACTCACAATCTTTGCCTCAGTTAACCTCAACAACTCTGAACCTTTATCTGCATAGCATTTGTATCAACTGGAGCAAAGACAGAGATTATTTCAAATGTTTCTGGCTCTCCCTAAGTAAAGATCCTGAATATGAAGCCACATTCATCAGTCATATCCAAGGTAACTAACACCACTCAAGATCCTTTCTACTTTATCCTCACTGGCATCCCTGGATTTGAGGCCTCGCACATCTGGGTCTCCATTCCCTTCTGCTGTCTCTACACCATCTCCATTGTGGGCAACGCCACCATCCTCACTGTCATCCGCACAGAGCCCTCCTTCCACCAGCCCATGTACCTGTTTCTCTCCATGCTGGCCCTGACTGACCTGGGGCTTACCCTCACCACCCTGCCCACAGTCATGCAGCTTCTCTGGTTCAACATTCGGGAGATCAGCTTTGAGGCCTGTTTCGCCCAGTTCTTCTTCCTCCATGGATTCTCCTTTATGGAGTCTTCTGTGTTATTGGCCATGTCCTTCGACCGCTATGTGGCCATCTGCCGCCCTCTCCATTATGCCTCCATCCTCACCAATGAAGTTATTGGTAGAATTGGGTTTGCCATCATTTGCCGCTGTGTTCTGGCTGTTCTTCCCTCGCTTTTCCTACTCAAGCGCCTGCCCTTCTGCTGCTCCCACCTTCTCTCTCACTCCTACTGCCTCCACCAGGATATGATTCGCCTGGTCTGTGCAGACATCCGGGTCAACAGCTGGTATGGATTTGCTCTGGTCTTGCTCATTACTGTAATGGACCCTCTTCTCATTTTGCTCTCCTATACGCTCATCCTGAAAAATATCCTGGGCACAGCCACCTGGACTGAGCGGCTCCATGCCCTCAATAACTGTCTGTGTCACATTCTTGCTGTTCTGGTTCTGTATGTCCCCATGGTTGGTGTATCTATGACTCACCGCTTTGCTAAGAATGCCTCTCCACTGGTCCATGTTATCATGTCCAATGTCTACCTGCTGGCACCTCCCGTGATGAACCCCATTATTTACAGTGCAAAGACCAAGCAGATTCGCCAGGGAATCCTTCATCTCCTTTCCCTCCAAAATATGCATTCAAGATGAGAGAATGAATTTGTTAAATTACTCACAAGTAAAAATCATAGGCTTAAGGGGAGAGTATAGTCAGAATTGGGAAATAAGGAATGTAAAATGAAGACAAATAATATTGTTAAGGCAGTATGACATGTTTTTGGCTGTTAGCAGAATATACCTGGCTGAGCTCAGCTACCAACAATGAGTCAAAACAAAAGAGATGTGAATTTCAGTTGACAGATTAACAGTAATATATTGCGTATTTTCGGATGACTAGTAGAGAGGAATTCAAGTGTTCTCATCACAAAGAAATGATAAATGCTTACAGTGATGGATATGCTAATTAATCTAATTTGATCATCACAAAGTGTATACATATATCAAAATATTACTCTGTACTCTATAAATACATACAAATATAATGTGTCAATTAAAAAATAAAATCAAGGAAACTTCTGGCACGTTTTAACAGCTACTCCAATGACAGCTCATTGACTCACTCATTGACTAAGTAAAAGTGGGTCTAAACTTTGTTCTTTGTTCTGGATATTCTTCTCTTTTGTGGGCTTGGTTAGTGGGGTTTAAAGGAAATCCTTAGTTGTTTCTTCTACCACCCATTCTCATAAGCAGCTCCATTTAGGCATTCAAGTCAACTCTAGCTCCTAAGTCCTGGATCACTGTGCTGTGTAGGTATGCTCTCTGACTTGCCCTTGCAAAAGAATGGTAAGACTATGAGGGAGGATGGATGCAGATCATGTTTCTCAGGCAGTCAGATTTATCAAATGAACATCCAGCATAATTTCAGCAGACCAAGTGAACACATACAAGGAGCCTAAAATTAGGATGGAGTGGTAGGGTCCCCATAGCTACAACAAGGCTCCTACCTTACTAGAGGTCCATGCTATTAAGAATTCAAACTTCGAATAAGGTAATACTTGTGGGAAGAACTCATTTTTCTGGTAAGAACAGACTCTTTTCTGTCTTAATGTCCTTAATGCAACTCCACTTCTTAAGGGCAGATTTCCTTTGGAATTATGGATTTTGTATTAGCAAAAGTTCTAGCAGAAGAGCTATGGCCTTAACAATAAAAAAAACATAAGTTGTGGAAATTAGATAGGCTGTCTCAGAAATATCAGGTTGAAGGGGCAGCCATAATTTTGGTCACAGCTCCTTATTTTTTTATTATTTTTTTTTGTGTCTTTTTCTGTGTCCGGCAACGGATCGCAACCCTCAGTGTTGCCCCCGTACCAGACCGGGTACTGGCAATGGGATCATAACCCTCGGTGTTGCTCCCACTCCTCACTCAGCCAGTGAGCGGGAACCGGTCCGTATGTGGGATCCGAACCCTCTTATTAAGCTATACAAAAAACGTGGATGAATGCCAAATTCATTTTATTAAGGGAAAAAAATACTGTCTTAAAAGATTAACAAAATGCATGACTCCATTTAAATAAAAGTCTGGAAAAGACAAAACTATGCAGAGAGTACACTGATCAGTGGTAGCCAAAGTTTTAGGGGGAGTAGATGTTGAATATGTGAAGCACAGAAGATTTTTTTAGGGTGATGGAATTATTCTGTAATACCGCTATGTGCACACATGACAATATGTGTTTACTAAAATCCATAGAACATTACAGCAGCACAGAGTGAAATTAATGCATGTTAATTTTTAAAAATTATTTAGGACCTTACAGGATCCCAGGATGGAATGCAGAATGTGACAAAAAAATCTAACTCTATTACAACTCTATGAAACCACCTTTCTGAAATAGGTGGCAAAAAATTTTGCTCACCTAAGTAACTTTGGAAATGGGTGGAATCTGGAAAACCAAAGGCAAAAGAAGGTAAAATAAGCACTGTACTCTAGTTGATGAAGCAGTTTCTCAGCGGGGTGTGGATTTACAATTCTGCAACCCTGTACATGTGTACAGAAATTGAATGATCAAGTAAAGCGATGGCAGATGGTGAGAGCCAGGTTTCTCATGGTCACAGGGGGAGGTTACAGACACACAGTGGAAAAGGATTGAATGAATCATAAATTAGACTTGGAAACATCAGTATGAAGTCATTATAGCTTAATATAGATGCAGATAGTTAAATACAGAAATATCTATGGATATTTGTATATGCACAGGTTAATGTGTAGACATATCTTTCCTTGGTTTGTAAGCTAAGAGTGCCTAGAAGCAGTGATAACCCAGTAGCAGCAAGCACATTCATTCACATAAACTTAAATATGTTTAAATTAATATATATTTGGAAACAATTTTAACTTTCTTAACAAATAAAGCCAGTATAGGAAATATTGAAGGTCAATATTATTAGATTTTCAATAAAAAATAAAAGATCCTAAGACTTAAACAAATTAAAATGCTATTTTAGTGTTATATTTCATACTGGAATATTATGGGGGGGGGACTTCAAACAGTTTTTTTTAAAATGCCAAACTAGTCTAATTTGTCTAAGGATTTGCCCTTACCAAGAATACTAAGTGAACTAGAAGACTCATAGAGTCTTTCTGCATTTATTTAAAAAAATGTTAAAATATTTTACATGAAGTTTATATCTCATTATTAGTATCCTCACTAGTTCATCTCTATGATTATAGATTTATAACCTGGTATCTGTTTTTAATTAACTTCTTATTGAAACAGATTGATTGTACATATTTTTGTGGTACAGAGTTATATTTCATTACATGTATATAATGTGTAATGATCTAATCAAGGTAATTAACAATTTCATCATCGCAAAGGTAGAACATTTCTTTGTAACATGAACATTCTCTTCTCTTTTAGTTGTTTGATAACATGTCATAAATCATTGTTAATCGTAGATTTCTGGGTCCACTGTACATTAACAGAATTTATTTGATCATTAGACATTGTATCCATGTATCAAAACATCACATTGTACCCTATAAATATATACAATTATTCTGAGAAGACATTCCTGTAAGTACCTGAGGACAAATAGTTTTAAGAGAATGCATTTATAAATATTCAATGTCCAAGTACACTCTTTACTTAAATTGCTTTGTCTAAGAATGTACCTGGTTTTACTGTATCCTCTGTTAAACCATTTTTTCCTTCATTTTCCCAATATCACTTTTCTCAGTGAAAGAAAGAAAGAGGAAATCTCTTTACTTAAATTGCTTTGTCTAAGAATGTACCTGGTTTTACTGTGTCCTCTGTGAAACCATTTTTTCCTTCATTTTCCCAATATCACTTTTCTCAGTGAAAGAAAGAAAGAGGAAAGGAAAGGAAAATAAAAGAGACAAGAAAAGAAGAGAAATGAAAAGAAGAACCAGAACTCTCAAAGCTATCTCAAGTCTTTCAAAAATGCAATATTCTGACATGCAAACACTTCTGAGATAAGAAACAAAAGGCCTACTGACAATATTGGCATGGATTTGAATAAAGTAAATGACACTGCTGGCTGGATAACACACTCCAGCAGAAAACAAATGGTACCAACTTTATTGCTTTAAATAAAAGTAAAGAGAGACCTAATGGAACTATCACTTATTAGGTCATTAAGACATTTTTGATAATAGATCATTATGTGTTTTTTGTTATCTAATTTCAAAGGTGTTTTATAAACAATGGCACCACTGGGCTCTTATAAAACAGTTCTAATAACATCTTATTTATGTTGTCAGACTTTTCAGTATTAACATTTACAGTAAAGAAAGAAAATGAATAGGAACTGAATTCATGCTGAACTATGTCTCGTTCTATTAATAAATGATATTTATTTTTAGATTCAAGAAAAAGCCCATGCACCTCACTAACAGATTAATTTCTAATCAATTTTTAATTTTAATATATAAAAATCATATTATTCTAATATTTGAACAATTATGTACTAAGAAGTATTGAAAAAATAACTTAGAAATTTTTTTAAACAGTGCTTTATGACATCAATTTTTAAACATCAAACTTAAATGTACATACATATTTTTGTTGCAAAGAATTAGAGTGATCACTGAAATAGTTCCCAACAAAAATATATTACATGCACAATAGTCTTTGGTGGAGGTAAATTATAATAAAATTTTTAATTAGAGGAAAAAGGTACTGTTGTAAATTATCTGTTAAAGAACATGTTCATGTATTTTTAGATTTATGAAGTCAGGTATCAAAACAGTATACATTTAGATTCCATTGGATATTTAAAGATGTGATATAAAAATTTATTTTAAAGTGACTATATTTACAAAACTGTCTATTCCAAAATACATGCTCTACAATAAATTTATAACACTAATTTTAGATATCAACATGAAAGTGCTTGAAAAAGTATATAGTTTTTTTGTTCTTTATTTTATAGAGTACATAAGTAAACATTTGACGACCACTGTCCTAAACAAACTAAGTACATCAAAAGAGTCACTGTGTAAAGGTGACACTGGGTGAGCTCACCAGCATATGGCGAAGAAAATATTCTGATTGTAATTGGAGGCCCTGAAGTGAATGTGGCTCAAAGCCTGACACTAGTTACTGATCAACCAGCACAGGCCTGTCAATCCACTCGACACAAAGACAGTGTTGTTTAGGAGATGAGAGGATGCTCTTTCCCATTAGAAAAAGGTTTTCAGGAAACCATAGGCAACCGCAGGCAGAATCTGGCAGGACCGACTAAATCCATACTTAGGAGGCTGAAGGAGGGGTGTGAACAAGGAACAGACAAGAATGTATCCCCCACGTGGCATGGTGAGGCCACTGATGGCTGAAGGGAAGGGAGGAAAGGAGAAAAAGGGATATCCAGGAACTGTGTTTATCTAAATTGTTGTTCATTTAAAAATAGAACCTGGGATTCCACTAAAGCAAAATTCATTGCTTTTGCTGGGAGTCTTAGGATCTGTAGCCTTGGCATTGTGAGGTTGTGCATATGTCACTTTTGCCTCAGTTGAGGTCATGTAGTCTGATCTTAATCCACAGAGTCTCATGGTATATAAATTCTGGGTATGAAGACCATTGGATGGTTAGTTGTGGGGAGAGTTTGTTTTTTTTATGTAACAAAAAGTTGCTTCGTAGGTAGATCATACAATTGATTGTTTAAACGAGGACATTTTTGAGGCTGAAAGAGGGTGCTATTAATAATGATGCTGAAGAAAACAGTTGTAACCTTGAAAATTTGCCACACACTAGAAAGGACTGTTCACTTTAGTCAAAGGCATGTTCCTAGGATGATCTGTCCTTACTGAGGGATATTCTTAATTCCTACCTAACCCATAAAAGTGGAAATTTGTTTTATTTGAATTCAAATATAATTAAGTCTAAAGCCTTTACTGTTAACTTACTATTTATCAGGCTGTTTTTTAAAAGATTTCAGGTAATGAGGAAAAGGAAAATTACTTATTTCTGCCTTGCACTTATCACATCAGGTTAGAAAAGAAAGGTATGCACATGTGCACATGCAGAGACACATGTATATCAGTAAAGTGTGAAATGGAAAGGGCTTAGAAATAACTCTTGTGGTCACATGCAAGCCTGTGACAACACTTTGAATTTCTCATTCCTATTCTTCCTCAAAATGCCTAGTGTAGAGCTTTGCTCATAGCAGAAACACAATCAGAGATTATAGACAGAATGATAGTCCCTGCCCCTTTGGAGTGATTCAGAGCAATTCCCTCTTGCAGGAGAACAAGTTGACTATTCCCTGTTGAATTGGCTGGGTCTTAATGCTGTAGATGATGGGGTTGAGCACAGGAGGCACAAAGAGGTAGATGCTAGACATGAATGTGTGGACCATGGGTGACACATGCTTGGCAGCACGATGCATCACAGATACACCAATCATAGGCACATAGTACACAAGCACTGCACAGATATGTGACACACATGTGTTGAGGGCCTTCCACTGCCCCTCCCCAGAAGCAATGCCCAACACTGTGTAAAGGATCAGCACATAAGAGACCATGATGAGTAGTGAGTCCAGCCCAAAAGTGGCTAGAACAATAGCCAGGCCCAGAATGCTGTTGAACTTAGTATCAGCACAAGGCAGCTGGATCAGGTCTGAATGGAGGCAGTAGGAGTGGGAGAGGATGTTAATGTGACAATAGGGCAGTTGCCTCAAGAGGACTGGAAGTGGTGCCATGAGTGCCATGCTCTTTAGTGTAATGCCCAGTCCCATGGAGATGATCCGGGGCAGGGTGAGGATGGCTGTATAGCGCAGCGGGTTGTAGATGGCTATGAAGCGGTCAAAACTCATGGCTAACAGGACCCCTGACTCCATGCAGGAGAAGGTGTGAATGAAGAACATCTGGGCTAGGCAGCCATCCAAGTCAACGCTGCGGGCATCAAACCAAAGAATGCCCATAACAGTAGGCAGTGTAGACACAGAGACACCCACCTCAGTGACGGCCAACATGGAGATGAACAGGTACATGGGCTCATGTAGGGCAGAGCTCGCCTGAATCGCTGCCATGATTAGGCTATTACCCACGATGGCCATGACATACATAGTGAAGAAGGGAATGGAAAGCCAGCCATGTTGGGCCTCCAGTCCTGGGATGCCAGTTAGGAAGACGGACAGGAGGCTGAGACTTTCATTGCTCACAGCTTCCATGCCACCAATGGCAGAGATCGGTCTTCACCTGCGATTTGAAATAACTGAAGTTAGCTCCCACCTGTTGGGTCTTCTGCCGTAGCAGCCCACCTCAAAGGATGAAGAAAGGAGTTGGGGAGCAGCAGGGGAGTCGGAATCATTTACATCGTCCTGAGTAAAAATGTAATAGACACTCTATTCACTCCTCCTGTTCTCCTGAGTTCCAGAATCCTAAAATGTGACATGTAAAGGAGATACATTTGAGACTGCTCAATCTTGTGAGAGACAGCATAACTTAAACATTAGGAGCAGAAACTTTGGAATAAATCAGACTTGTGTCAAAATCCATATTCAGCCAGTTACTAGATGTGTGATGTGGGAAACTTATTTACACTTTCATCCAAAATTTGTTTTATGTCGTTCTGTTTATTTACTTGTTTCTTTTTTAACTTGTAAAATAAAGATAATAATACTATTCTCTTGTGTGGATATAAGGAAAAATCAGAAAATTATTATCGTATGTTCAAAGTTTTACAGTTCTGCAAATGAATTCTGGAAGACTTTAGTTTGAATCCCATTGACAGTTTACTCTCAGTTAATATAAGGAAAAATCAGAAAATTATTATCGTATGTTCAATGTTTTAGAGTTCTGCAAATGAATTCTGGAAGACTTTAGTTTGAATCCCATTGACAGTTTACTCTCAGTTTAATCTTGTGCAAGGTAATTTAACCTCTCTAAGCCTCAGTGTCTCCATCTGTAAATTGAGGATAAAAATATACCTGCCTCATAGAGTTTTTGTAAGAGCAAACAAGATATTTCATGGCATATAAAATACTGAATAAATATAAACTATTTAATTGTTAGAGGGACACTAAAACCCAGATAGGAAGAGTGAGTGACACACCCAAAGTTTAAGAGTCAATTTCTCCAGAGCCTAGATTATAGTTTAGATCCACAGACTGTTCTCGTAATGTTTCCAATTTCACTGTGGAGACGAGAATAAACTCCAGTCTGATCTAGGTTGGAGTCATCAGAAAGAATTAAGTTTTAGTTCTGTCAATGTGGATTTGAGAAGACAAGGACACCTGGAAAAGTAGTAATCCCCATGGGTCTCCACTCCATTCCAAGGAGGGAAAAACTTTTTGAATGAAAATGAGATTGTGGCTTTAGATGGGTGATGAAGGATGTGGACAATCCAGGTGAGAATTATACCAAAACACAAGTGACCTCTGAGTTTAAAAACTGACTTTAGAAAGGTTATCAAAGATGTAGGGACTTCAAAAGGAACAGATCTAACCTAAAGTCCATGGAGAGATCAGAGATGTAGAGATAAAGGATGTCATCAGTGGCCAAGAGATCAGACAAATAGCTAAACCCCAATCAGAAGGTGAAAATACTATGGAATGTAATGAACATGGAATGTAACATAACATAATGCAATGTAACAGAATAAATGTAATGTAACATGTTAAATTTGCAAACTAAATTTTAAAAGACAGGAAAGTAGGAAGATGCAGTCACAATTGGTATAAAAGCCGAATTACCTCCAATTATCAGAGATCAAATGTATGAATCACTAATTCTGTATCAACTCTTCACCCTGTGGTTATCCACTGTTGATGTGAAATTGTCTATGCATCTAAAGAGTTTAATAAGAATACTCTGCCGGAATGGATGAACAATTGGGGGAATGTATACCCAGGGGAATACAAAGAGCTATGACCATGGAAACAAGGACACTGTGATCATGAAGATGGTCCCAGAGCATGTATTCTCTTACTTTCTTCACTTTTCCTGCACTGGCCCTGCTGAAACCCCATACATTTTGTCTCTGTGCTTTCTTCAAAATTAACATCCCTTACAGGTGAAGTATGATTCCTTATACCTCATCCATAAATCTCTCTTGGGTCTGTTTTATAGATCAGTGGTTCTCAACCTTGGCTAGACATTTGAATCACCTGGAACTTAAAAATCCCAGTGCCCAGGTAACATCCCATACCAATTAAATTAGAATCGCTGTATGTAGTATCCAATTATCAATATGTTTTAAAGCTCCTGAGGTGAATACAATGTTAACAGTTACCTCAGACTCATTTTATAACATTCCATTCACTTTACATTCACAGTCTTTTAGACTAAAATGAGACTTGCAAGCACTCTCTTAGTCTTTCCCCACCCCGCCCCTCCCCTTTTTTAGACAACATTTCCACCACATTCCTGACCTGCAACATAAACATT